GTTTGTACAAATTGTGAATTTCTCTTACCCTAATAGTACCGTATAGAAACCCAACTCCGACTTTGTTTTGCCTACCCGGAGGTTCTGGTATTACGCGTCACTCGAAGATACCGTTAGACCGTTACACCCGACGTTGTGTCACCCAAAAGCTGGGAATAAACATTATCATTATTATTGTTATACAACGTCCGCCGGAAATGCCGACCGGTTCTATTGAGTAAGTGCCTAATAATTCAGTTTTGTTGCTGGTGCCTAGGCGAATCTTCGGGAGACAGAACACGTGCTTGTGCTGCTGTCACTGAAGAGGTCACCCTAACCACACATACTTCTCCGGATGGCGGCAGATAGTGCTAATTAGACGTTTCCCATTTGTGTTGAATGTCGACAGAACGCAGACGATAAACCGCCCCGGGTAATTTTTTAAAACGACTAATGTTCAGCTTGCACGTACAAGCTGCAAGCCTTCCTTACTACGAATGGTATGGGTACCCGTCGTTCGGCTATGTTTGCCCTTGCGGGAAGCGAACAGTTTGTTTCCATGCGTAAACTATTGGGCTAATTCAGGAAGATGTTAGGGGAGCAGTATCAAGTGAAGGCCATCATCGTGTCCAAGTTTGTGGCATAACTGCGGGCCGCAAAATTAGTATTCAGCTTCGACATCACGCTGTGTTACCTCCATATTAGCAAAGCTATCAAAATGAACGTACATGTCATGTAACATCCATCCACTGTTGGTCACAGACACGCTCTGCGAACAGTTGGTACGTATTCCACGGTATGGCTTGTTCGGACAATTACGTACAGTAGGGTTTTAGTTTACCGTAGTACGAGCACACAGAGCCAGATGGATCTGCAAATACTGCACCACAAGGACCCGAAGTTCGTCCCTTGTCATTTAGCCTAGTGGTTGAACGTCGTCTACAAACGGGTTGCACACTCAGTTCGAGATGGTACGCTTTGCTAACATAATCAGCAACTGTCTTGATGGCGCAAGCGGCCGTTTGAGATAACGGGCGCACTATTCAGACGCACAGGAGCACGCCATACAGGTGACCTGGCACGATGGTCGGTTTACGTGGAAATTTTAGATGCATGCGTCATACCATTGCGACTGACGGCAAATACTAAGGGTCACGTACTTATCGTTGTTTGTCGAATGACAACTTATTTAAGCCCCCCTCGTTTAGATGCACTAAGAGCCACGGCCCATAAGGCCGCGAGGAACAAGCAAGGCAAGGTCAACCTACGTTAACTGACTTAAAGTCCGTGGTGCCAACACGTAGGTTTTCCCAAGACAGTTGACACCTGGATGGGGAACGTACATAAACCATCCACCGGGCGATGTGGCTTCAACGCATCCACTTCTTTTCTGTACTTAAACACCACTTGATCCTAAGCTGAAAGGAACATTCCTCACAGACTTTTCCGAGGTTGCTTCACAATACACCAAAATACCTGTTGGATTGCAATCTACAGGGACGAGGCGCACTCCTTACGCTTGTTTCCAAGTCACTACCAGTAGTTTATGATGGCCTCCGTGAGCAACTAGACCGAATGTTGAATAAGCTTTCGGGGCTGAAGGTCAGGAGGGCCACATTATTTAGAAGTTGATTCTTCAGGGGCAAATCTAGCTGCGCCAAAGCTCAATATCTACAAGCGATGGCCTGCCATCGGCGGTCGGGTATATGTTTTCGACCCGAATGGCCGTATAGGGACACAGAAAACTGCTTTTATGTGCTCGGGTACCGGCCTACTAGTAGCAGTGGCCACTGGTGTGCAACGGATCGGGTAGTGATGGTGAACCTTCCCGCTGTGCCGTGATGCCCTTAAGGCTTGTCCCAGCCAACTACCTTATTTTCGGGTCTTTGCCCCCGTACAGTCCAGAAAATGCAAGAGTGTGCTTGAAAACTAATCCAAAAAGAAGGCGTCTTGTGATGTATTCATGGACCGAACCACATAATCCAAGCCGGGCTATGTAGTCTCTCTAAATTTCAACGGATCACCTCAGCCTCAGAAGTATCAGCAAATTCTACCCATTGATAGCGGCTCACCTTTTACCGCAATCTGCGATATCTTGTTACATTAGGCAACATATTCAGTCGGTGGTGATTGATGACCTTGAAGATCCGCACATTCAAACAGATCGTACACGTAGATAAGTTGCGGAATAGTTTATTAATTATAGGCATTTTACGCTTCGGAGTGGCAACCCTGAACACGTTGTAGCTTACGAGAAAGCAATTCTAGCGAATACTGAGTGGATTTAGCCACCGATGAACGCGGGCATTTTAGTCAGACAGGGAAGGTTTAAAGGAAACTCCATGTTGCCCCGAGAATACCAGATTATTAGTTTAGAGATTATTTCGAGTGGCCGGCTTCGTAATGCGTTCCATCGCCTTGTGCTGTGCATTAATGAGGCTAATCAGCATCTAGCCACCGAGCGATAAGCGGCCAAGAGATTTGTAGGCTGGCGTGACATTCGCTGCAAAAGTAGGCAAAACGCTGAACAAAGATGCTGTGCTCTCTTGGGCATCGTGTTCTTAAGGATCCTCAGATGACTATAACCAGCTATAATGGTTCGGCTTTTGGAGGAGCTCACGGAGCATTTGGTTGGTGGTTGTTCGCTATTTCACCATGCCAAGACTAGATGTGATGAGGTCGTTGGGCAGAAAACAATTCTGCATGGTGAAAAACACTCAACTGCATACCAATTTGGCTTTCACAAAAGAGTCACGAAAACACAGCTGAATCACTCTTTTATGATGTTTTAGGCATCATCTGTTGGAGTCTGCTACTATTATTGGACTCTCTTTAGATTCCCCTCCTCTTTCCTTCCAGCAATAGGCTGTTCGCTTGTTGTTTCAGCCGTGTTTAAACTGACTGTCTTTCCAGGTGGGACCTAGTACAGTGGCCCGTTTTTAACGCTAAGTTGGCGGATTTCTGATTTACGCTAGCTCCGTGTTGTACGAAATGCAAATGGTGGCTTCTTAGTTCCCTCCACCTTTTTAAAGAATAATTTGGACCGGGTTGATGGACGGTACGCTGGTTTATTTGGGGCGACTACTGTAGCAGCTATGTATGTTTTCCAAAAAATAGCCCACTATGTTTCACACAGGTCCCAGTTTACTCTGGTAGGGAAGATTACGGAATACTTAAAAGTATGCGTAACAGACCTTTCGAATCAAGATTTGAGGTTCTGGCTTCTCAGCACAGTAACGAACTGAGTCAAAAGTCGGCACATAGTTTTCATTATGTTCTAAGGAAGTTCTAATTTCCATGTGCTGAAAGGAATGACCCCTACTTGTGGATCCATATAGATCCCAATCACGATGTTGGACCCAGTTGCTTTGCTGGCTACCTGAGTCAACGCCTGCGCGTTGACTAAAACTGCGTTCATGGGGTCTACTGGGAGCTAAATACGACCACCATAGAAAAATACTTAAAGTATTAGCAAGAGCAAAGCTGTCTTAGTGTCTGTAAGTGGAAAGAGACACGCAGACATCGGTACATGACGCCGGTGGGCCTGGTCAACAGTACGATACAAACGGGTTCATTGACGCTTAAGTGAGACCATTAAGGCTTGGTTGATGTAACGGGTGAACGGTACCTTTGAGTGACGCGTAATAACAGAACCTCCGGGTAGGCAAAACAAAGTCAGAGCTGGGTTTCGATACGGTACTAATAAAGTTAGACAAATTCACAAATTATACAAACCTCGACAGTAGATACGTGTCCACTTGGACTACAAAAGTACAAACCAAGGGAGCAAGCAGGCTCCCACGTGCGACGTCACATGAGCAACTTCGGCTACAAGTGGCCGGATGACCTCAAGGCCAAATGGATGAGGTGGTAAGGACAAACAAACGTCAGTTCATATATACACACAAAACACAAAAGTGGGGCGGGGGTTACAAATGGGACAGAACGAACCTGGGAAATTTCATTGTCAACGTAACAGATGATATACCGCCTGCCTAATTCTCCCCGCTGATTCAGCATACGCCCTTGTTTTTGCAGTCTACCTACGCTCAGCTCCATTCTAAGGTATCCTTTCAGCCACCGACACGAATGGTCTGAGTCCACTCCTGTCACAAGTGCCGACTTCGATGGGGTACATGCCTAATCGCGTCCCTCCAGTAAACACACCTTTCTAATATCTCTCTTAAGAAAGCCGCCCGCTGTACTTACGAAGCCATCTGAGCTCGCCTCACAACTATCCACTAGTTCTAGAGGCCATTTCTCACGAGGCAGGTCCTCACCAGAAACCAGAACTAAGTCCCCTCGTTTCAATTCTTGAGTTGCTCTGAACGACTTGGTACGCATCTGCAACGTTGGCAGATATTCCCTTATCCAAAGACGCCAGAATACGCCAGCAAGATAATTGACCTTTTTCCAACCGGCATAATATCGCAAAGCCAAACCGTCGCGACCGGGTACCGCAGGACAGTACCGCATGAGCAACAAACTGTTTGTTGTAGGGAGCTCCAGCTCGTTGCTGTCTGATGAAAGCGGCACTATAGGTCGGTTAGTTAGAAACCGTTCTGTCCGTATAAGGAGCGTGTTCAGTTGTTCATCGGTCAAACACTTTTCCCCACATAGACATAAAAGGATACGTCGTATTGGCCTGATTATACGCTCCAACACACTACCAAGGTGGCTAGCTGCTGGTGGATTAAAGTGCCCCTGTATATCCATAGTCGAACGCCGGCCTGATATATTACTCTGAATCCACTGCTCTATATCATCCCGAAATTCCGTTGGCGCATCAACAGAGTTCCTACCATTATCACTGTTGATATCGGTGGGCTTGCCACGCCTACCAACGAAGCGCATCAAACATTGTAGGAATGAATCGGTCGACAAGTTGCCTGCCATTTACAAATGGGCTGCTCTAGTCTTCGGACAGCTCAAAATAGAGCCATAGCGTTTTTCCTGGGAATGGCCGCGTTTAGTCTTAAAAGGTCCAAAATTGTCCAGTCCCGCGCGCTTGAAGGGGCACCAACCCACTTCTACTCTGTCTGCCGGTAACGGAGCCGTCATTTGTGTACCGAGCTGTTTGGACTGACGCCTGCATAAAGAGCACGCACCAATCACTCGTTTAACGGCACCGGTTCCATTGATAATTCAGTATCACTCTCGAGTAGAGGCCAAGACCTGCCCTACTCCATAGTGTCCTTCTACTTTATGAAGGTGATGTATAATCAAGGCAGTAACAGGATGTCGGCTCGAAAGAGCTGGACGTTTTACTAACTGACTGTAGTTCGAGTAACTACGTCTACCTTCCGCGCACAAAATGCCACCGATCAAAACAGGTAAAAGTTTTCGTTAGCTGGAGCGTATCGCATCCAGTACGGAAGCGTTAACCTGATGCAGCTCTTGCGCGAAGTGACTAGATTGCACGATCTTCATCAAACAATTACGTGCCCGGCGGAGTTCGGATACTCTGATAACACAGGAAAGTAAAGCCTCTTTTCTCGCCCTGCCCATATTTATCAATAGATATTGGCTGTAACGCAGTAACCAAGCCACAAATTTCTGTAGCTCCATCCAAAAGGAGAACCGAGACATTAGTGGGCACATGCCATCATTTCCCTCCAATCGGTTAGCCTGTGCTACCAGGCTTTTGAGAGCATCTCTATTACAGGGGTGAACCTTGACCTGTAGGATTCACGGATTCACGGATTGATAC